CTGCACTGCCTGTCTTAACATCTTGCAACACCTGGACCATCCCCAGTTGCAACACTGCACGCTGCACTGCCTTCTTAACATCTTGCAACACCTGGACCATCCCCAGTTGCAACACTGCAGCCTGCACTGCCTGTCTTAACATCTTGCAACACCTGGGACCATCCCCAGTTGCAACACTGCAACACTGCACTGCCTGTCTTAACATCTTGCAACACCTGGACCATCCCCAGTTGCAACACTGCAGCGCTGCACTGCCTGTCTTAACATCTTGCAACACCTGGACCATCCCCAGTTGCAACACTGCACTGCCTGTCTTAACATCTTGCAACACCTGGACCATCCCCAGTTGCAACACTGCAGCGCTGCACTGCCTGTCTTAACATCTTGCAACACCTGGACCATCCCCAGTTGCAACACTGCAACACTGCACTGCCTGTCTTAACATCTTGCAACACCTGGACCATCCCCAGTTGCAACACTGCACTGCCTGTCTTCACATCTTGCAACACCTGGACCATCCCCAGTTGCAACACTGCACTGCCTGTCTTAACATCTTGCAAAAACCTGGACCATCCCCAGTTGCAACACTGCAACCCCGCCTGTCTTAACATCTTGCAACACCTGGACCATCCCCAGTTTGCCAACACTGCAACACTGCACTGCCTGTCTTAACATCTTGCAACACCTGGACCATCCCCAGTTGCAACCAACTGCACTGCCTGTCTAACATCTTGCAACACCTGGACCCTCCCCAGTTGCAACTGCAGCGCTGCACTGCCTGTCTTAACATCTTGCAACACCTGGACCATCCCCAGTTGCAACACTGCAACACTGCACTGCCTGTCTTAACATCTTGCAACACCTGGACCATCCCCAGTTGCAACACTGCACTGCCTGTCTTCACATCTTGCAACACCTGGACCATCCCCAGTTGCAACACTGCAGCGCTGCACTGCCTGTCCTAACATCTTGCAACACCTGGACCATCCCCAGTTGCACACTGCAGCGCTGCACTGGGCCCGTCTTAACATCTTGCAACACCTGGACCATCCCCAGTTGCAACACTGCACGCTGCACTGCCTGTCTTAAAATCTTGCAACACCTGGACCATCCCAGTTGCAACACTGCAGCGCTGCACTGCCTGTCTTAACATCTTGCAACACCTGGACCATCCCCAGTTGCAACACTGCAGCGCTGCACTGCCTGTCTTAACATCTTGCAACACCTGGACCATCCCCAGTTGCAACACTGCAGCGCTGCACTGCCTGTCTTAACATCTTGCAACACCTGGACCATCCCCAGTTGCAACACTGCAGCGCTGCACTGCCTGTCTTAACATCTTGCAACACCTGGACCATCCCCAGTTGCAACACTGCAGCGCTGCACTGCCTGTCTTAACATCTTGCAACACCTGGACCATCCCCAGTTGCAACACTGCAGCGCTGCACTGCCTGTCTTAACATCTTGCAACACCTGGACCATCCCCAGTTGCAAACACTGCAGCACTGCCACTGCCTGTCTTAACATCTTGCAACACCTGGACCATCCCCAGTTGCAACACTGCAACACTGCACTGCCTGTCTTAACATCTTGCAACACCTGGACCATCCCCGTTGCAACACTGCCCTACTGCCTGTCTTAAAAATCTTGCAACACCTGGACATCCCCAGTTGCAACACTGCAACACTGCACTGGGCCTGTCTTAACATCTTGCAACACCTGGACCATCCCCAGTTGCAAACCACCTGCACTGCCTGTCTTAACATCTTGCAACACCTGGACCATCCCCAGTTGCAACACTGCACTGCCTGTCTTAACATCTTGCAACACCTGGACCATCCCCAGTTGCAACACTGCAACACTGCACTTGCCTGTCTTAACATCTTGCAACACCTGGACCATCCCCAGTTGCAACACTGCACACCTGCCTGTCTTAACATCTTGCAACACCTGGACCATCCCCAGTTGCAACACTGCAACACTGCAGCTGTCTTAACATCTTGCAACACCTGGATCATCCCATTGCAACACTCACTGCCTGTCTTAACATCTTGCAACACCTGGACCATCCCCAGTTGCAACACTGCAACACTGCACGCCTGTCTTAACATCTTGCAACACCTGGACCATCCCCAGTTGCAACACTGCAACACTGCACTGCCTGTCTTAACATCTTGCAACACCTGGACCATCCCCAGTTGCAACACTGCACTGCCTGTCTTAACATCTTGCAACAACCTGGACCATCCCCAGTTTGCAACACTGCACCTGCCTGCTGTCTTAACATCTTGCAAACACCTGGACCATCCCCAGTTGCAACACTGCAACACTGCACTGCCTGTCTTAACATCTTGCAACACCTGGACCATCCCCAGTTGCAACACTGCACTGCCTATCTTAACATCTTGCAACACCTGGACCATCCCCAGTTGCAACACTGCAACACTGCACTGCCTGTCTTAACATCTTGCAACACCTGACCATCCCAGTTGCAACACTG